TGAGGGGAGTGGGTGGGAGTCAGGTGCGCGTGAGGTACCGTAAGGCCAGGTAAGCTCGCCATGGTTTGAACTTGACCCATCCCTCAACCCCCCTCGACCACAACCATCACCTCTTTCTCCTCCTCCCCACTCATCTCGTCTCCTCAATTCTCTCTCTCTCGCTCCCTTCCCTCCCTCCCTCCCTCCCTCCGCTGCTTCTTGCTTCTCATCAGCCTTGGCAGCGACGGATATGTGAGGCAGCTTAAACTTACCAGAGAAGGTAACTTGCTGCTGCTACCGCCGCCTCCATCGCTGCTCCTCCTGCTCCTGCTCCTGCTCCTGCTCCTGCTCCTGCTCCTGCTCCTGCTCCTGCTCCTGCTCCTGCTCCTCCTGTTGGTTCACTGCTAGCCTGTGAGTTCTTGTGCAGAAATTTCTCTTCCTCTTCCTGCCACTGTCGAGCACGAAGATCAAGAAAGTTCTACTGCTCTTCACCCTCATGACGAATTGGCGACGGAAGCAGCCTTGAATGCAATGAAGTTGTCCTCTCTCTCCCTACCTCCTGCAACTATCTGCTGCTGCTGCTGCTGCTGCTGCTTCTGCTGCTGCTGCTGCTTCCTCTTTCTACTTCCTGCTTCCTCCCTCCTCCTCCGTCTTCCTCCACTTCCTTCCCTCGTTCCAATTGTCTGTTACTCCATCGTTTCCTCTTGTCCCTCTCACGTCCACCGTCTGAAGCAGCGCCTGCAGTTTCTTGCAGGTTGTCGATGGGGAGGAGGAGGCGAAAGGAAATACCCACGGGGCAGGCCATCCCTCAACTGGTCATGCTGCAGCAGGAAGGGATACACCAGTACAGGAGGAGGAGGAGAGTGCAGTACGGAGGAGTCTGTACGAGTCTCTTGCCTCCAGCTTCCTCCGGGAGGCAAGGCAGTGGAGCAGGAGGGAGGAGCAGGAGCGGGAGGTTGGCTCCTTAGAGGCAGAGCTAAGGGAACAGCTTGCTGCAGCTGATAACGATGCGAAGAGAATGGAGTGAGTTCATCTCTCTGTTTCCCTTGCTTCTGCTTCTTCTCCTGCTCCTGCTCCTGCTCCTTCTCCTGCTCCTGCTCCTGCTCCTGCTCCTGCTCCTGCTCCTGCTCCTGCTTCTGGTGTACCTCCTGCTCTGCCTGCTCCCTCGTCTTCCTCCTTCCCCTCCTCTGAGCCACTCGCCGCAGGGCGGTCAAACGTGCCATGGAGCTGAGAGACGCCATGCTCGCCAAGCAGCGGCTGCTTGACCTCCTGCAAGAGGATCGTTTGCTCCACCTTTGTGTCAGAGGGCAGCAGCACCACCTCCTCCGCATCCTCTCAGAGCTCCCCGTCCAGCTGTTCCTTGACCCTTCCTTGCCGTACAGGTCCTGCTGAATGTTTCTCTCCTTCCTCTGTCCATCTCATCTCTCCTCCTTCCACGACTTTCTGCCTCTCCTCCTGCCCCTGGCCCTTCTCTTCTCCTCCTGCCCCTGCCCCTTCTCTTCTCCTCCTGCTCCTCCTCTCCTCCTCTCTAAGTCTGCTGCTCCCTCCTCTAACTCCTTCCCATTCTTTTCCTCTCCATCTCTCCTCACTAACTCATGGATGCTTCAGGATCAGGAGCGGGTTGTTTAGCTCCTTTCCCTGGCACGTGGCTGGCGGCAACGGAGATGCAGTATGTCTTGTATCCTCTCCTCTGCTCCCCCCCCCACCTTCTCCTTCCTTCCTCCCACCTCTCTCGCTCCTCCTGCTCTTGTTTGATGGCTCTTTTCTCTCGCCTTTTCTTACTCGATGTCTGCAGTCTGTCGACATCCCCGTGGAGACCTCTTGCGAACAAGCATCTGTCCTGCTCGAGTTCCTCCTCTCCCTTCCTCACATTCCTCAACTTTACTTCCGCACTGGAAGGTAAAAGATACTCCTCGTCGTCCTCGTCCTCGTCCTCGTCCTCGTCCTCGTCCTCGTCCTCGTCCTCGTCCTCGTCCTCGTCCTCGTCCTCGTCCTCGTCGTCTTCGTCCTCGTCCTCCTCGTCCTCGTCCTTCTCCTCGTCTTCCTTGTCCTCCCCTTCGTGCTCATCCTCCTGCTGTTTACTTGCTCCTCCTCCACTACCTTCCCTCACTCTATCGCATCTCTTCTGCTCCTCCTGTGTTGCTGCTCTCACTGCCATCCAACAGCAACGCCATGCAGAGGAGACACCCCAGCGACCTCCTCCTCCTCCTCTCCCAGCACAAGACTCTCCCCAACCTCGACGGGTGGGACGCGGGGCCCGACATTCTCAAGCTTCTCCTCCCATCCGTGAGCAACAACCTGAGGTAAGTCTCCTTGCCGTCCTCCTCATACTGCAGACTGAGGAGGAGGGCAGGTTCGTGAACATCAACTGCGAGCTCTACCCTCCAGTTCTCTGCTCGGCCTCTTCCCTCGATCTCCGAGGCTGCAAGCTTCAGTCCGAGGAAGCTGTCGTCCTCTCCTCCATCCTCCCGCAGAACCCTTCCCTCACCCTCCTCGACCTCCGGGACAACCACATGGAGCAGGACTGGGCGGCGCTGCTTGACGTCTGCATGCTGAAGCTAACAAGCCTTACTAGGTAGCCCGCACTTTCCCCTTCCTTCTCCTCCTTTGCTTGCTCCTTCGCTGCTCCCGCTCCACCTTCCTCCTGCTCCTGCTCCTGCTCCTGCTCCTGCTCCTGCTCCTGCTCCTCCCCTCCCTCGAACTTTCCTATTCCTCTTGCTCGACATTTAGCCTTCGTCCTCATCGTTCTACAGCTTGAACGGCATTGCTCCTCCTCCCCGCACCTCTCGCCTGGACCTCCGCCTCCTCTCTCCTCTCCTGCGCGCCTCCTACGAACATGTGAGTCTCTTGTTCCCCTCGAAGAAAGTTAGCAGTCCCAGGAGAGGGGAGGACGAACAGGAGGCAGGCGGGATGCAAGAGATGAAGAGAGGGAGAGAGGGAGAAGGGAGGATATGGCAAGGTGGAACGGAGGAGAAGGATGGTGGATGGTGGAGAGAGAAGCTAGGTAGAGAAGGGGAGGAGATGGAGATAGGAGGAAGAGGAGGGCAGGGGGCGGGAGGGCAGGGGAGGGAGAGCGACAGGAGGAGAGTTGAACGTCTGCAGGTTTTCCTGGGCTCCTTCCTGGCGCGCGAGGAGGTGGAGGAACTGAACAATCTCTCGCTCTCTCCCCATGAGGAGGAAGTTCGTCTTGGAGGAGGAGAGAGGCTCCAGTACGAGCTGCTGTGGGCTTCACTGGCCGTTGGGCGATGCTCCCAACTCTCCCTCCTCGACATCAGCTCTTGCGATGTCGGGGACTTCGTCGCTCCCCTCCTCTCCTCCTCCCTCCTCCTGCTCCCTTCCCTGCGCTTCCTCCTCGCCCGCATGATCAACATCGGCCCAGCAGGAGCTTTGTGCATGGCGCAAGGCCTCCTGGCCTGCTGCAGAATGGAGGAGTTGGACGTGGGAGGGAACGCCATCGGATGCGTGGGGGCGGCGGCCCTGAGCACGAGCATGGAGGGCATGGAGGGCCTTCGGGTGTTGAAGTTGGACGGATGCGACGTGGGCGACGGAGGATGCAGGAGGCTGGGCGATAGTCTCTCCTCTCGCTCGGGTCTGGAGGAGCTACACTTGAACAACAACATGATAGGGGAGGACGCTGTCTCTCTGCTGCTCCGCCGCGTCCGGGGGCTCGAGAGCCTTCGTAGTGTCTTCCTGTACGGCAACAAGCTCGACCCCATCCGAACTCGCCGGGTGGCGCAGGAAACCCTCGGGGTATCTTGCTCAGTTGCGCTGTAGAAGAATCGCAGGACATGGTCAATGGCAGAGAAGAGGAGGTGGCGAGCGAAGGGGAGGAGGACGGGGAGAAGGAAGATGTGGAGGAGGATGTAAGGAGGAAGAATGAGGAGGGGCAGCGGCAGATCTCAAATATCTCAGTAATTCACTGCGGCAGAAACTTTTTTACACTCAGAGGGTCGCCTGGGTCACATCCATGCCTTGCGAGTACATTTGCTGCGAGCTGTACCCGTTCCTGATCTCTCCCGTCTGCCTGCGAGCCACTGCTGTCAGCTTGGAGCCAATGGAATGAGAGGGGGCTAGAACAACAATAAGGACGACAGAAGGTACATAGCAGCGGCAGCATTACAGAGCAGCAGCAGGGAACGTTGTAAGATAAGGAGGACGAGTTGGGAGGAGAAGGAAAACGTCAGTTTGTAGGAATAGATTTCAGATGAGTTTCCATGAAGCCACGAGAGCCGACAAACAAAAGCAAGGGGCAAAGATGGGATGAAGGAGGATGAGGCAGCGAGAAACAACATCAGGCATCGAACTTCTCCCACAGCACCATAGGAGCAAACCCTCCTCCCCTCCCTCACCTCAGCTCCTGCGACGTAACGATCCTACCCACCGGAGCCTTGTCTGACAGCCGCATGAAAGAAGGCTGGCTGGTGCGGTAGAGTGTCACCTGCTGATTCTGCCTTCCCGTCCTCTTCAGCTCCAGCACCACCGGAGTGCCAGCAGGCCCTCTGATCATCTGGTGCAGCTCTTGTAGGTTGTGCCGCTCTACCGCTCGACCGTCCACACTGACCAGAAGGTCGTGGAGCTTGATCACTCCGCAGTCCGCAGCAGGCGATCCCGGCACCACCTCCACCACGTACACGTTGCCGGCCTGAGGGCCAGTCTCGAACCTCTCCAGGCGCAGGCCGACGCCTCCAATGGCGGAGGAGGAGCGGAGGGAGTGGCGGGACTCCCACTCGGCGGGGTCGATCTTGATGTAGACTGGGACCTCCCTGACAATCTCGACGGGGATCTCTCGGACTACCTCCACCACCCGCTCCTCCGTCTCGATGACTGGCACCTCCTGCACATGGATCCTCTCCACCACCTTCTCCACCGGCACCTCCTTCTCTACTTCCACGATCTGGGCACAAGGGAGTCACAAGGTGACAGCGGGTGAGGGAGAGTAGAGCAGAAGTGAGCGGTGGAGAGCGGGGGTAGCAGAAGAGCGCAGAGGAGGGGAGATAAAGAGAGAAGGCAAGGAGAGAACTCCGCACCTGCTCAATGATCCTCTCTACCGGTACCTCCTTGATCACCTCCACGACCTGTTCGATGATTCTCTCCCGAACAATCTTGCGGACGAACGGCTTCTCCACAATCTTCTCGACCGGCACCTCCTTCACGATTTGCACGACTTTGTTGACGTACTGAACCACTGGTCGCTCGTGCGTGGTCACGCACTCCACGTGCTTGCCTCGCTCAACAACCTTCTCCTGCACGATGGACAAAAAGTTCAATGAGATCCTCCTCCAAACCCACCAGCTTCTAATCCTCTTTCACCACCACCACCACTACCTCCTCCTCCTCCTCCTCCTCCTCCTCCTCCTCCACCACCACCACCACCACCACCACCACCACCACCACCACCACTACAACCACCTCCTCCTGCTCCTGCTCCTGCTCCTGCTCCTGCTCCTGCTCCTGCTCCTGCTCCTGCTCCTGCTCCTGCTCCTTCTCCACTACCACCACCAACCACCACCAACCACCACCAACCACCACCACCTCCTCCTCAAATCACGTCAGACACTACCCTCTCTCCTAACTCCATCTATCGCCGACTTTCTCCTCACCACAAGGCGGGGCACTTGGACTGGGACAGAGCGCTCGATGGGCTTCTCGATGGGCTTCTCGATAGACAAGAGCCTTTCATGCGTCTCCATCGGCCGAGCTCCATGGTCCATGTCATCGATCCTCGATCCTCCGAACGACTCTAGCGGCGCTCCTCTCGCCTCCCCATACGCTCGGAGCGGGCTTCGCCCTGCCATCGCCGATTCCCACAAGGGATACTACCCCTACCCCACTCGTACTTTTCTCAGTACCCACCCTTAATACCTTCCGAGATTTCCCCTACCTCCCAACAACCCCCTACCCCACCCAGTCCTGGCGTGTGGACAACTTTTAGACTACCCCTGTCATATCAATGTCTTTGTTTGGAATCTCTACCCTTACCCCCCACATTTTCCACCTTCCACCCACCTCATCCTCATGACAAGACTTGTACCCCGACGGTACCTGTACCCCTACCCACAATCCGAGTACCCACCCTGCAACTAGCACAACATCTTTCAACCCTACCCTCTCGTTGCAAGTAGATCCCATTGACGAGGTGAGGTGGGTGGTAACATTTACGTCTTAGGGGATACAAAATTGGGTAGGTGGGGGTAGAACATGATTGGGTAGGTGGTGGAAGACAGAGGTCATTTTCGTTCCTAGGGTCTGTGAAAGGAGGGGTAGTCCAGTGGGTTCAAGAGTATAGGGTGTCAATCCTGAATCTCAACGAGTGGGTGGGGTACTATCGTCACAGGGGTGGGGGGTCCGTAGTTGTGTAATGAAGGGGCGGATGGGTGTTTGTCCTCTGTCGGAGGTTTAAAACTATTTTTGAATTCAATTTGTTTTGAAATTTTATCTCTTGTCTTCAAATTTTGGAGGATTCAAATTACGCAATGTTGTCTTTCTCCCGTCCAATTGTGTAGGTTACAACTGGTATTTGAATATTTATTGGTTATTTTGAAATATTCGAAGAAAGCTTTGAAAATTGGTGGTCACTTCAGGTACTCATTGTAAAATTATAAATATCCAAAAGAATCTTTTTCGTATTATTTACAATGCTTGTAGCGATCCGCGCCATGGAAAGATTGCAGGAATCCAAGGAAGGTGCAGGACGCGAGATTGATGTTAGAGACAGTGAGGACGAACGATGATTGAAGCAGAGCACGGTAGACTTTGCATGATAGAACGTCAAGCGAGGGAAGTTGGAAAGAAGGAGGAGAGGACGGAGGGGAGGAGAGGCTAGATGTGTCGATTCGTCAGTGTTGTCCATATGGATTCAGAACATCAACTCCGGTCAGTCTCCAGAGAGCCTTGCTTCTCAAAGTAGAAGGAGTGCTGAGCTGACTTGAAGTTCAAGTGGGAAGACGTGAAGGTTTTCTTCTCGAGTGGAAGGTGTTTGGTTAGTTGGTGGGTTGAGTACCAAAAATGTTTGCGGCTTTGAAGGAAAGAAAACAGATTAAGAATGGAAGAGCAGTGCTTTCAGCAATGAAACACAATGTACTGATTATAGTCTTTCCCCTTTGCAGATGTCAGAATCTACCTCACAGAGGTTGTCTCCCGACCAGAAGATGCAATCTTGGGTGAGGCGGAGTGCTGTAGCTCTGGTGCTCTTTGTTGATTGATCCTTTTTGATGTTAACAGGCGGTGAGCGGATACAACATAGAGAACAGAGATGTCTCTTCAAAGCATCAGACCCTGCGGCAATTCAACACGGATATCAATGTCAACTTCCAGAGAGGATACGGGAACAGCGTGGTGACCTCGGTCAACCCCGTCTCCTTCAAGAGGAGCTCCGACCCGAACAAGTGCTCCGAGTTACCTCCCCTCCTCCCTCTTGCGCTGAACTTTGCTTCCAGATATTGGAACCCTGTCATCCCTACCGAGCAGACCAGCGTCACTGTGGTGGACAAGCCTATTGAGCGAATAGTGGAAGTTTTCCATAGGGTGCCCATGGACAAAGTGCTTGTTTCCCCCGACCCGCTTGCCGCCTTGATGACTGTAAGCAGGTGGTGGAAAGGAACGTTGAGTCTATCAAGGTGGAGGAGAAGCACCTTGAGAAAGACATCAAGATCACCCAAGTCGTCCCTGTTATCCAGGTGTGCATTGCAGGTTGACTAGGCACGTACGAGGGCTGAAGACAGTGTCGGGCTGCAGGAGATCAAGAAGGAGGTTGTCTACGAGAAGGAGGTGCTGAAGGAGGAGGTCCAGGAGATCGTGGTCGACAAGTATGTCGAGCGGGTATGGAAGTCCCGGGTGAAGGAGGATTCACTGAACGAACATGGCAGATCGTGGAAGTGATCAGGGAGGTTCCTGTTGATCGCGTTGTTCAGCGTAGGGAAGATTGCTCAGATGTCCAGCTGAAGCTGAGCTGACTGCGGCCTGCAGGTGGAGGTGATCAAGGAGGTGCCGACCATCCGCTACGTGGACAGAGTGATCACTAAAGAGGTTCCGGTCACGCAAGTCGTGGAGCGAGTGGTATGACGAGAGGAGGGGGAGGGAGGGAGGGGAGGGGAGGGAGGGAGGGAGGGAGGGAGGGAGGGAGGGAGGGAGGGAGGGAGGGAGGGAGGGAGGGAGGGAGGGAGGGAGGGAGGAGGGAGGGAGGGAGGGAGGAGGAGGAGGAGGAGGAGGAGGAGGAGGAGGAGGAGGAGGAGGAGGAGGAGGAGGAGGAGGAGGAGGAGGAGGAGGAGGAGGAGGAGGAGGA